ATCAGCCTGGTGCTGCAGAGTGTGTGCCCGAGACAGCACCTCCTCACTGCCCTGCTCTACTGCCCGGGGGTCTACAACCAGTACAGGTATTGAACACAGGCATAACACTTTATACACACAGGACTGGCTGTGCGAGTTTCACAGTATGCAGATGGAACCCATGGAAACAGTAATCGGCAGAGAGCCTTTTACAGAGGTTGAGAGCAAATAATCTAACTCAGGCACTGTGAGGCATTTTGACATGCTTGCCAGAATTAACAGTAAAATAAAGACTACATTTGTTTGTGTGAGGTTCTTACATATCAGACATTAGGCTGATTTTACTGTGTTGAATTAGTTTCACAGAGCATGCTGGAGTGTTTCCGATCGAGCAGCTGGGAAAAAAAAAAGCCTTGGCTGTTGTTGCTTAGAGCGATGAGAGTGGAGTAGCTAAAACGACATGATCTGGCGCTGCTGTAGGCATCTCGCATATAAAAATAGGCTTTCAGAACAATGATCTCAGGCTTAGACTACTGAACAGACAACTTGTCTGAATGGCCGTTATGTCCTGATCTTGCAATTGATCTGTACACTAATCTTTTAAATTGTCCACATAGAGTATCTAATGCATCTATACATATGCTAAATTGTCAGTTTATTAGGTACACCAAATTAAGATTAATGCATTCTAATATAACAATCCTCCTTCATGAAAGTGTTAATGTTCAGTTTGCACTCAAACAGTTTGACTGATGTGTTGATGCAGCTGCATGATCATTATGGAGATGTAGGTTGTGCTGCAGAGAGGTGTTTGTTACTGTATTATATGACAGCTTCTTTAAATAACCTTTTTAAAGTTTCATTTACACTGAATTATCAGTTAAAAGTTCTGGGAGTGTATTTTGTCTACAATACCAGAAAATTACTTTTATTTTAGTCTTACCAATGGTTTATATGAACAGTAGCTTACATGTTGACTTACTGTTATGCTGCAGCAGCATTTACCATTTTGTCTCCATGTCTGTGTTCCAGTACTGCGCTTTGCTTCACCTGTGCATGGTACTGCAGCATCGTGACTGGCGGGCTCCTCCACCTGCTGCTGGTGCAGGTCATCAATATCAGCTACAACATCACTGAACGTGAGGCGCGCATCGCCCTGCGCAACAAAACCGCTCGTAGCGCTTACTGGGGGCTTGTTGTGGACACCGGCATCTATTCTAGAGGTTTCCGTGGCAACTGGGCTGAGTTCATGACCATGGGAGACAAACCGAATCCTCCCTCTCCCGTCCCAACAGTCCTAGTGTAAGAGACTTATGTTGCCTGATTTTAAAAAACGAGTTGGCCGCTGTTCTGTTCACATCCACTAGATGGCAGCATGGCTCCTTTCACACTGATTTGAATTCAGTGGCAGCAAACATGACACCTGCCAGGACTGTTGCCATTACCTCAGCTACCAACTTGGCCCCTAATTGTCCTGACTTTTTCACATAGCAATAACAACTACAACCGCCACTAAGATACAGTCACTATTGATTCACCGACATTTCCTATATGCAGCTGTATTTATTCACAATCTCTTCTGTTGCTGCCTCAGCCCACCTTTCATCAACAGATGCTGCTACTGATGATTTTGCACTGGCCGCCTTCCGTGGACTTTTCAACATTGACTTTGTCTCGTCTGCATTCTAGTGCCTTGCTGGGAGTCGGAAAACAGGACAAATGTGAGAATGAGCAATGTGTCGATTCTTGTAGGGACATTTGAGTACAACAACATAACGATACCTCAGGAGCAGGTCAGACCTACCCAAAACCATGGCACAACATCATTTCAAGGATGGTCTGTGCTTACAACACCTTGTTCCTTCTCTATAAATACCTACTGGCAGTGATCACAAAGGAGGGGACCTTGGTTGGCTTGGTGAAATGTATCATGGATAAACGAAACATCTCAGCCAAGCCAGATAATCAGTCTGAATAAATGTGCACAGCCTGCCATTGCATTAAACAATAATGAATGATTACATAGTTATGAATGTACGTTTTTTAAGGTGGTTCAAACTGATGCCTGGATTAAACAAGTTCAGAAATATGAAAAAGCAAATAGAGAAGTTAGCTTTTCAGCACTTCCCACTATCAATGCTTTGTAGTCCTCTGAGGGGCTGAGCTTTTTTTAAAATAACTGTGTGTAGTTGTGTGTTTGTATGAATTTATTTTTATTAAATCAATGTGAGAAAATGCATGTGTATTCATTTTCTGTTTGCATAAGTATCTCTTCTTCCAGAGATGGTCATGCGCCGTCTGTGTGGGGATGCATTTCTCCTCCAGTGACTGTTTATGTCCCAGAGGCGTTTACAGTAGACGGGAGCAGAAGTCTGGCAGAACCTCAGTTACTTTGCGCCCCAGCTTCCCTCGCCGTACCTCCCTCTCTCTTTCTTTGCGCAGCAGATAGGGAAGCTGCCTCCAGGCCAAGAAGCATTGCTGCAACAGTCGTCTGAAGTGCAGGCAGATGCAAGGACAGACAGGAACAGAGCAAGTGAGCAATGAAAGACAGAATTTCAAGGACCTCTGGTTTGACTGCACCTAATGAGTTTGACTATGGTAGTTGGGCAGCCGGTGGAAAAACACCTCCAGGCTGTGGTCATTTAGCTGACCTCACTTCATATTGTGACAATGTCAAATCATTAGTTGAACAACAACCAGTTTTATTAACAATGGGGAAACACAGTATCATATAATCATACTGTTATTAGGCATAATATAAACCAATTGTAATTGTTAATTTAAAATGGATATTGTTGAAAAATTTAACTGCAAAATAACTGTATGCAAATCAGGAGAGTTGTCAATAAAGAGTCACAAACAAGTTTTTTTTTTTAGCCTGCCTGTGGGTCTATTACTTTGGTCCCAGCTGCAAAATCTCAAACCATTAGATGGATCCTACAGACTTTGGTGATCCCCTAACTTTTCACCTAGTTTCACCATGAGGTTGACATTTGTGATCTGTGTCATGAAATTTGGTACAGACATTCACGTCCCCCTTAAGATGTATTTTAATCCTTACTGTGTCCTCCTGACTTTCCATCTGGCACCATCATCAAGTCAAAATTTAAATGTCCACCAAAACAATTCCCATTCTCATCAGCCTCAGCTGAATTTTGTGTTTAGGGAGAATTAGCAAATGTTAGTTT